AWGTAGAAATAGCTTCCTTCACAGGCAACTCTACTCTGTGGGATTCCTGTGCTAAGTCAAACGACCTGTGTTCCTAAAAATTGCTCTCAGTCAAACTTTCAACACAGGAAGACGAAGCAAGGAAGTCTGGAGTACAGCCTGTGAAGGAGGCTAATAAGAACAAATAATGATTGGAACATCAGACTTCATTTGAATTTTTAATGATGATTTCTTTATTTATAGTCAATGGCACAGTTGAACCTGGAACACTTCTGGCAGTCATGGGTGCCAGGTAATAAAAGGGATTCTATGAGAGGATTGTATAAAGGAGAAATAGCCCTGGCCATCCTGATAAATCCCTGGAAAGCAGTCATATGCATCTAGTGGATTAAAATACTTACAACCTTGATTAWAAATTCAAACATTAAAATAAAGTCAGGGGTATGTGCAGGGGTGATTCCAGGGGTCCTGGAACCACATCACATTCTTCCTTTCTTATTTCGTTGAGAGACAAAGTCATTGAAAAATGAGACCTGCCAAAACAAAAGGATAATACATGTACATTTTCAGATTGTGCAGTAGGCTGTTCAGTGCAAAACAGTACTTTCAATTTTGTAGTAAATTTTCTACTTAACAGTCTCTGCAACTGAAAGCTCATTTTCTTGTTTGCGATTAAAGCAAATAGGCTATGATGTGTAATATTAAATATTGTTTTCATTTCAAATATTTATACAGCGGAGCAGGAAAGACCACATTAATGAATGTCCTTGCACACCGTAATATTGGAAGTGTTCAAGTTATGGGTACAGTGATGGTCAATAAYACTCCTGTWGGAATTAACATCAACTCCATATCAGCATACGTCCAACAAGAGGATTTATTCATTGGTACACTTACTGTMAGAGAACACTTGACTTTCCAGGTAATAATTTCCAGCAAGGCAGTCTAGTTCCTTCATTAGCAGGCATCGGCTTTGTTCTTACTATATTTATTCCTGAGTGTTATTTTAAATGAGTAGTAATTTTTTTTCATTATAACATTATAATTATAACTCTCATATTTGATACACAGGCTCTTCTTAGAATGGACAAACATGTTTCCAAGAAAGAGAGATTAGATAAAGTAGAACAAGCACTTCATGAGGTTTGTACGTTTTGTACTTAATTATATTTCATCAAATGTTCAATCCCACTTCATTGGACCCATCTTCATTGCTTAGTTTTCAACAATGCCTAAATTGAATGATTATTGTCTTGCAGCTTGGATTGATGAAGTGTGCAGACACAATGATAGGCATTCCTGGACGAATGAGAGGAATATCTGGAGGGGAGAAGAAGAGATTGTCATTTGCATCAGAGGTCTATATTTTCTTAGTATACTAAGTCCTTACACAAATAGAAGTATTAAATGCTGTCAATAAACAACTGAAACTTTAAAATAAAACACTTTACTGTCCATTCAGGTGTTGACAGACCCTGCAATTCTATTTGCTGATGAACCAACTTCAGGTCTAGACTCCTTCATGGCACAGAGTGTTGTTTCTACTCTTCAACGACTTGCTTCTCAAGGAAGAACTATYGTGTGCACCATTCATCAACCTTCTTCTGAGGTTTATGCCATGTTTTCAAGGTGAGAAATACCACATGTACAGGTATGTCATCACAGGCTAGAAATGTTGGCGATTATGAAATTGTTATAATTATTTCAATTAAAATATGTATGCCCACAAAGTCCTCATGATACCTCATCAGAATTACCTTCAAAAGGGGAAATACTGCTGCCAGATTTTTTTTCTGGAAAAAATTATTATGAATTGTTTTGTCTAAATTTTTAAGGCATCTGAAAATGTAAACAAAAGGATGCCAACTAAGGAATTCTGTTAGACTTGCTTCATTTTGTGTTTACACATCATTTTTATACAATCATATAACTTTAAGGTTTCTTTTTATTTACAGTGTTATGTACATGGCAGAGGGTAGGGTGGCATTTCTGGGTTCTTCCATAAAGGCATTGCCATATTTTGACAGGTAAAGTCCATTAAGTCCCAGTTACATTT